TATCGATTTTCAAGCCCCAGCTGCAAAAGTGGACTTCGCGTACTACTTTCGTACTTAAAAGTTGCGATTTTCGAGCCCCAGCTGCGAAAGTGCACTACTTTCGTACTTAAAAGTTGCGATTTTCGAGTACTACTTTTGTACTTAAGAGTTGCGATTTTCGAGCCCCGGCTGCGCAAGTTGACCTTGCGAAAGTGCTGCACCTGCCACGAAATATGTGCATGACCTTGTGAAAGTGCTGCGCCTGCCACGCAATCTGCGCTTGACCTTGCGAAAGTGCTGCGCCTGCCACGAAATCTGTGCTTGACCTTGCGAAAGTTCTGCACCTGCCACGAAATCTGTGCTTGACCTTGCGAAAGTTCTGCACCTGCCACGAAATCTGTGCTTGACCTTGCGAAAGTTCTGCGCCTGCCACGAATTCTGCACTTGACCTTGCGAAAGTGCTGCACCTGCCACGAAATATGTACATGACCTTGTGAAAGTGCTGCGCCTGCCACGCAATCTGCGCTTGACCTTGTGAAAGTGCTGCGCCTGCCACGAAATCTGTGCTTGACCTTGCGAAAGTGCTGCGCCTGCCACGAAATTTGTTCCTGACCTCTCGAAGATGGCAAAACTAAATAACCCAACCCTAAATGCTCATCTTCTTTACATACAAGAACTGCTGTCTGCTCTATACCTATAACCGATATGAGTCTTATATCCATCGTTTAGATCGTGCTTTTAAGCTTTTGTGCTTCAGACTTCTTGGTAACACTAGTACAACTAAATTTGAGAACGTCCATGTCATATTTCAACCGTGGGTCACTTGAATCAGCCAAAGTTCCGTTAACCTTGGCCGTCGTTACTGAAAAACTTGATCTTAGTGCCTGCCAACTCTCAGCGCGCACACCCGTCGCAAAAGTCTTACCAGTAGACAAAGACCGAACTTGTCGTTGAACTAAAGCCAGTTTAATCGCTGTGTTTGAGGTTCTGCATACTACGAGAACTATACATGAAAGAATTCCATCAGAATAAGTTGATATTTCGCTTGATCCCATCATGACAACTGCTCCAGTAGTCATTCAAAGATGGTCTAGAACTGACACAGTCGTGACTCCAATGATTGAATGGAGCTTTGAACTGCTAAATTAGTATCAGCAGTTACGTGTCCCTCCGGTTGGAGCTTATGATTACTGCGTAACGCTCCGCCAGCTTTAACATAAACATCGTCAGCGAATGTAATTTCTCGTGGCATCAGCAGTGCTTGTGCTGAAAGTCCATCCGGTAGAAATATTAACTGCTCCAGCAATATTAGATTGAACACCCGGGCCTGGCAAATGAACTTGGTTGAAGAATTAGCATCCGTAACTCTCGAATCAAAGGACGGAAAAGCATTAAACATATGTGTATGATTTCGCTAGTCGTGCCAGTAGTAATGTTACTGCCAGAGAGCAAAAGTTAGCACAAGTTAGACTACAGGCAGAGAAAGATGTGACCAAGCGCAGTAATTGATTTATCAAACTGGCTGTGTTTACCAATCAGCCACGCGTAAAATACAGATTTCAATCGTTTGCTAACATCGCCAACACTCAACGCTACAAAGTTAGTATGCGCCATACACAAGCCCGCCTCAGCGCCTAAAAGTCACAGCGTCGCCAACACCATTTAACACAACCTAAACCGAACTTATCAGCAACCCGTAAACGCCCAACACTAGCATCTCCTGTTTGAACCTCTCACTGACCACCGGCGCTACTCAACCACATTCCACCATCTCTGTCAACACAGAACTCGCGATTCAAAATTTTAAATGTAATCTGGAACCCCTCAATTAGGCGCCGGCGTTACTACGAATTCGCCGATTCCTTCTCCTGAAAGGGGGAGGCGCACGGGAAGGGCGATCGGCAGAATCGGCATCGTCCCTGCCAGAGACGCCGGGGATGCGCAGTGATAATTAGCATCATCGCTGCTAGAGATGCTGGGGATATGATCCGTAATTGCTTGCGGGCGATGCTGCGGATGCCCAGTGGTGATTCTGGCGCTGATCCCACTGATCCCTGCCTGAGATGTTGGGGATGCGCAGTGATGGTTATCATCAAGGCGATCACGAGCAGTTTGCTCATGAGATGCTGGGGATGCGTAGTGATAATTAGTATCATCACTGCTCGAGATGCTGGGAATACCATGCGTAGTTGCTTGCGGGTGATGCTGGGGACGCGTAGTGATAATGATGATCAGCCCTGCTTCACAAGCAGTTTGCTCATGATCGTCGTTATGAGCATCATCTCTGCCGCGGATGCTAGGGATGCGTAGTGATGGATATCATCAAGGCGATCACAAGTATCATTCTCATGATCCTCGCCATGACTCGTCCTTTTCTATGTACATTTCAAGCATCCCGTTAGACCCGGCTTGGCTGCATGGCGAGGGATGCTGGGGATGCGTAGCGATGCTCATCCTCCATCCTCATTGTCTTCGTCACGACTTGTCTTTTTCAAGTGTTGTCTATACACATTTCAAATGTCCCGTTAGTCCCGGTTTCACCCGCAAGCGATGCGTAGGCATGATTATCATCATCGCTGCTGGAGATGCTGGGCGTGTCCCCGCCCGTGCTGGAGATGCTGGGGTGTCCAAGTGTTTTCTATACCATTTCAAGTGTCCCGTTGGACACGGCTTCACATGCAAGCGAGGCGTAGTCATGATTGTCACCATCGCTGCTGGAGATGCCGGGGATGCGTAGTGATGATCATGATCGTCGTTGCTGGGGCATCGTGCCGGAGATGCTGGGGATGCGTAGCGATGATTGGGGATGTGTAGCGCTGGTTCTCATCATCACTGCTAGAGATGCTGGGCGTGTCGCGCCGCCAAGTCATGATTGTCATCATCGCTGCTGGAGATGCTGGGGATGCAGAGCGATGATTGTCATCATCATGATCATCGCTGCTGGAGATGCTGGGGATGCGCAGTGATGGTTTCATCCTTGCTGCTAGAGGTGCTGGGGATGCGTAGTCATCCTAATCATCCATCATCATGATCTTCATCATGACTTGTCCTTCTCAAGTGTTTTCTATCCTATACATTTCAAGTGTCCTGTTAGACCTGGCTTGACACGCAAGCGATGCGTAGTCATGAATATCATCTTCGCTGCTGGAGATGCCGGGGATGCGTAGCGACGATCATCATCACCATGGTCCTCGTTGCTGGAGACGCTGGGGATGCGTAGCGACGACTGTCATCATCGCTGCTAGAGATGCTGGGGGTGCGCAGTGATGATGACGATAATCACTGCTAGAGATGCTGGGCGTGTCATCATCCGTGCTGGAAAGGCTGGGGATGGCAGCCGTCACTACGCATCAACGCGATCACGAGCATCATCCTCATGATTCTCGTCATGACTTGTCCTTGTCACGTGCTTTGTATACACATGACAAGTGCCCCGTTAGACCCGGATTGAAACGCAAGCGACGTGTAGTCATGATTATCCTCATCGCTGCTGGAGATGACGGGGGTGCGTAGTGATGATTACCATCGTTCGTCCTCACTGCTAGAGATGCTGCGTGTCATCATCCGTGCTGGAGATGCTGGGGATGCGTAGCGATGGATAGGCGATCACGAGCATCATCCTCATGATCTTCGTCACGACTTGTCTTTTTCAGTCGTTTTGTATATACATTTCAAGTTCCCGCTAGACCTGGCTTGACACGCAAGCGACGCGTAGTCATGATTATCGTCATCGCTGCTGGCTGCTGGAGATGCTGGGCGTGTCCCCACCCGTGCTGGAGATGCTGGGGTGTCCAAGTGTTTTCTAGACCATTTCAAGTGTCCCGTTGGACACGGCTTCACATGCAAGGCGTAGTCATGATTGTCACCATCGCTGCTGGAGATGACGGGGGTGCGTAGTGATGATTACCATCGTTCGTCCTCACTGCTAGAGATGCTGCGTGTCATCATCCGTGCTGGAGATGCTGGGGATGCGTAGCGATGGATAGGCGATCACGAGCATCATCCTCATGATCTTCGTCACGACTTGTCTTTTTCAGTCGTTTTGTATATACATTTCAAGTTCCCGTTAGGCCTGGCTTGACACGCAAGCGACGCGTAGTCATGATTATCGTCATCGCTGCTGGAGATGCCGGGGATGCGCAGTGATGATTATCATCATCACGGTCACCGTTGCTGGAGATGCTGGGGATGCGTAGTGATGATTATCATCATCGCTGCTAAAGATGCTGGGCGTGTCCCCACCCGTGCTGGAGATGCTGGGGTGTCCAAGTGTTTTCTATACCATTTCAAGTGTCCCGTTGGACACGGCTTCACATGCAAGCGAGGCGTAGTCATGATTGTCACCATCGCTGCTGGAGATGCTGGAGATGTGTAGTGATGATTATCACCGTTCGTCATCGCTGCTAGAGATGCTGGGCGTGTCATCATCCGTAGAGACGCTGGGGATGCGTAGTGACGGTTATCATCAAGGCGATCACGAGCATCTTTGTGATTCTCGTCATGACTTGTGTTTGTCAAGTGTTTCCTATACACATTTTAAGTGTCCCGCTAGACCCGGCTTGACACGCAAGCGACGCGTAGTCATGAGTATCATCATCGCTGCTGGAGATGCCGGGGATGCGTAGTGAGGACTATCATCATCATGATCATCGTTGCTGGAGACGCTGGGCATCATCGCCTTCGGGCTGCACCTGCCACAAGCTTCGGGCCGTGGCTGCCACAGCCTTTGGGCTGTGGCTTTGGTACAGTCTTGGCGCTGTACCTTCCCGCCACAGCCTCACAGCCTTCAGGTAACTCTAGGTCTGTTTCGCAACGAGAATCTGAGGACTTGATGGTTGACTCTGTTGCGCAAACGCCTGGTCAACACAATGTATGAATAAGTGCTGAGAGCAAGAGCTTTTTTTATGGCTACTATCGTAAAAAACGGAGCTTGGGCCAATATGTTCGCGTGACACGAGCTGAGCGCAAAAGGTCAATGCTCCCTGCTTTTGAGGCGCAGACTAACAACTCAGCCAAGCAACGAATTGAACCGTCCAGCTCGTAGATCTTCTCCTCGGGTCACGCCCCAGGCACCGCTACTGGCCTAGCCTGCAAAGCACAGTAGCGGCGAATGCTTTTGCATGAAAGAAGCCACTGCAATCGCTTTTGGTTTTGAGTTGGTACCCTTTTGGGAGGCGCGCAGCACAAATCAAGGGAAGCCCCATTTGCGGGAAGTTCATATCTCACTTGATGGCAAAATCACCTGGACCACTCCTGCGCTTGGCATTCTCGGGTGGAGGCACGGTGTTTCGCAAGGTCAGGCGCAGATAGATGGATGGATTGAGAGGAAGAGGAAGAGAAGAGAAAGAGAAAGAGAAGAGAAGCGAAGAGAAGAGAAGAGAAGAGGCGAAGAGAGGGACAAAGGGAAAAGAGGAAGAGAAAGAGAAAGAAAAAGAAAAAAAGGAAGATAAAAAAGAAAGAACAGAAAGGGAAGATAAAATAGAAAGAACAGAAAAGACACGAGATGCTCAGAGAGACAAAAAAAAGAAAGAAAGAAAGACAGAAAAACAGAAAGACAGAAAGACAGAAACACTGGAAGACAGAAAGAAAGAAAGAAAGAAAGAAAGAAAGAAAAAGAAAGAAAGAAAGGAAAAACAACAAAGAAAGGAAATACAGGATCGATATTTAACATTTCTACTCTTGGTGACCCCCAGTAAAAATGAACAGGACCAACAAACTAAAAACAAAAAACATGCCAAGAACAGTGAAGTTAGATAGTGGAGAGGGAGAGACCGATAGATAGCAAGATGGATAGATGGACAAGGAAAAGTAGAGAAACATATTGAGAACTGCGTTTTACTGGCAGCGCTAAGTGCCTTTGTAGTATCCGCGTCGGCAAGAGTTGGGCGGCGGGGGTTCCCAGTAGTGCGTCGCATTAGCTCAACTCGCGCTGCTGGTTAGTAGTATCTCACAAGGGCCCTTTTGAAAGGGGCCTGACCCATCTGAGAATGCTTGAATAGGCTGGCGCCAAGAGACTTCATGTAAGCAAGACAGCATGCGATGTCTTGCGCTGCAGTCGGGAATATGGGCTCATTGATGCTTCTCTGACCAAATCATCCAGAAGCTGCTGGCTGAGCTGTGGCTGTGAACCAGAAAGTTGGTAGCGAGTGCCAGCACCTCCGCCAGCATCACAAGCTCAACAACAATAAGAAGCAGCAGCTTCACATCAAGCACCAGCTCCAGTTCCAGTAGCACTTCATCACAAGCACAACCTCCCGTGCCAGCACCTTCTCCAACAGCGCAAACTCAGCATCAACAAGCAGCAGCTCCAAATCAGGCGCCAGCCCCGCTCCCCGGGACCAGCTCGTCAGCTCGTCCACGTCAACATCTTACCTCATACACGAGCACATCTCCGCCGCCGCCTGCACAACCTGCACGGTGTCACCGGCAGCTTCTTGGCGATGACGAGGAGCCAAGTTGAGGACAGGGCTCTGCCTTCGAAGATGTGCTATTCATGGCTGCGCCAAAACGCTGAATAAAAGATTAGGGCTGGCTTGCGCCCGTGGAAGATATGGAAAAACACTCAGATATGGAATCAAGGTCGCAAAGTCACGCAAGGGAGGTCATGTCTTCACGACACCTGAGATTTGCCCCCCCAAAACAGCGATGACCCAACTTCTTCGAATCCAATCCTGCACAACCTGTCGATCGAAAGAAGCCTTGCTCTAGTCTATGAACGAAGTGCAAGGACCCTCAAACTGTCCAGATAGAAGCCGAAGGCCGAAAAGAGCGGAGGTGTTTACTGTTTGTTCTTTCGTTCCTGCGTCCACATTCTTGAATTCTCACCCCCACCACTGACTGGCACTCGAGCGTCGCCATTCCCCTCAAGGCCCCAAAGGTCTGCAGACTCAGGCAGCGCGCCGGAGCCCTCATTTTGCCCGGGCCTGCCAGCCTCACCTGCCAGTAAAACAACACCATTCAAACTCACAAGCCCAGCTGCCGACCACCATCCCAGCCACCTTCTCCCACATTGAACCCCAACACGGCCTTGCTAAGGCCTTATTGCTGCAGGACCATGACCATCCCTATCAACCTCGAAGCACTGGTGAATCAACCAAAACCCGACTCAAAGAGTATCTTGCCACATCTATATATTTGCGTGGCTGGGACTGCCCGCGCTGGTCTTCGAGCAATTGCAAGAATGCAAGAGGAGCGTCCATTGTAAGAAGAACCGGCAACGTTTAACGCTCTTCCTGATGTTCCGAGCCTCTACAAAGCAGCATGATGCTTTCGCTTTGACACGATCAACTCTTGCGGTCCACTTAGCTCTAAGAAAATACCACACAGCGCTCAGATACGGAGCTGACCCAGCCCCATCGCCTGAACCGTCCGCCTTTTCATTGAGGACCTAAGTGGCAAGGTCAGCTACATCACACCAGCGCTCGATCACTCCAAGCTGGCTATTGCCCCCTGCGCTCAGTGGGCAAGCACGCACTTGACAAGAGTGTGAGAAAACTGTTTCCCGGCGGGAACACGCGTGCCCCCAGAAAATGAAAGGTGGGAGATCCCACCAAGGCTTGAGACCTCGCCAGCAAAGACACGAGCAAGCGGCACGCTGCTGTGTGCCCATGACCTCGGACCCATGCCAATTCGCAAGTTTCGCAAGGGCTTGTGACCACTGCAGAAAATATCTTGCGTCAAGCCTTGCGCTGAAACAGGGTCCTTTTGGGAGGGGGCTTTAACAACTGAAACAAAATCGCGAATCCACGGACTTGTAGGGAAGACAGCCAAACGTTCTGAGATGAACTTCTGAAAGTAGGGCAAGTAGGGGGTCCTCGTGTTCCTGCCAAGAAAAATCCCACTCTTTTGGCTTCCCTTCAAACTTCACATCCATCCAGGCTGCGAAGGGCACTCGCAGCATCTGCTTTGTGGTGGTCTTCTCGAAGGTCGACCCATAGGTCCTGGCCCCTTCCTGAGTCAAGAAACAGAACGGACAAGAAGAAAGAAACTCACCTTGAAAACCCACACTGTGTTTTTGGCAAGTCTCGCTGAGAAACTCCAAATCCACCCCGACCTCCCAGAACCAGAAGGAATTCTGATACAAGGGTTCTTGGAGCATCAAGCCCTCTGCAAAAATTGGACACATTCAAGTGTCCTCTTTGCGGAGCAGCACGGGTTGTCAACATCAATAAGTAGGGGTGAATTGCAACGCTCTGGTTTTGAAAAGGGACACCTCTGCTCGCTGCGTCTGTGACAAGAGATTTGTTCGCAGCGGTAGCCGAGCGTGATGCACGATCCAATAGAAGGCTGGCGCTTGCAAAAAGGAGGGAAAACTCGTTGGAACCCCTTCAACAAGAGACGAGACCGCATCCAAGCGGCCAGTTGCGACCAGGAGGGCACTGGCAGTCTCACCAGTTGCGTCAGCAGGCGGGTTTCGTAGCTCTTCGCAGTGATGGAAGCGTGCATGGAAAACCACACCTCAGGGCACAGCGGGTTCACTTGCCGCGCTTAAAGCAAGTTAGCAAGGGAAAAGGGAACAAGGTGAGACTGCAACCTCACTGACCGCCTGTCTGGCATGGCCTGCGTCAAAGCAAACAACATGTTTGGGCGTTGTGGCGTTCAACCGCGTTTTGCGAATAGATGCAGCATGACAAGCTGCAGCCAAGTAACAGACATCAGGAGGTACATGAAGGCTCCTGAAGTCACGCAGTCACGCGGTGGCAAGGGCAAATTTTGTCAAACTAGTTTTTCTGTCACACATGTGAAACCTTGACTCAGCCGGAAGCCCCGCGGTTTCTTGCACTTCCCCTTTGAAGACCTCCGACACTTCTTGGGTTGGTGAGCGGACGCAGACTTTTTTGCGGGCACAATCGAAAATTCGCATTGCACGCGCATTGCAAAACGCGCAAGCGGCGCTGTGCAATTTGATGGGGAAACCTATCAGAGCCCTATGTTGTTCGCAGTCATATCAGAACGTCTTGTCAGCGCGGTGCAAGGCTGGCGACTGGGCCGGCGCGCGAAGATGCTTCCCCAAAACATTTGTTGTTTGTCTGAACCCCTCATACTGCCCTACACTTACAAGGAAGCCAACCCTGACTGGTTCTCCCCTACCCCAACTTGGATTGCAAACCGACCAAGCTAGGCTCTTTTCAAAGACTACACAGTTGCACTTTCAGGGAAGGTTCGGCCCAATTCCCCGCCCCCACCCGCAAGGCCTGCAAGCGACAGCGTGTGGCACCCAACGAGCCATGCGGGCGTCCCGCTCGCCAAGCGGCCCTCGCAGAAAGCCATGACTGTGAAGCCTGGCGATCCGCGCCCCCCGCCGGAAAACGGTCTCTTGCGCTCCTCTAGCAAATGCTCCTCCAGTGCTCCTCGGTGATCCTGTAGCGGCACTCTAGTGCTGCTCAGTGATCTTCGTGGTGGCACTCTAGCGCTGATCTTCTAGCGATTCTCCCGTGCTCCTGTACTGACACTGTAGTGCTCCTCTAGAGATCTTGTAAACCATGAAGCTTCTTTGGGCAACTCCTGAGCACATGACCTGGCCCAGGAAACATGCTTATCGCAAGACCAACTCTGCCCAAGTCACCCCACTCTTTGCCGCTTGATGTTACAAGAGGGAAAAGTATATATCCTTGTTCCACGCATCACTTACCTATCGATACGTGCTCTGCGTCACATGGGCGTCAATTTCTTCGCCGACGTCGGCCATGTCAGCGGCAGCCGAACCCGTCGGCCCAACAGCAGACTGAGCTTCAAGCATCGAGTCAACCTTGTCAGCACTGCGCGAGGGTTTGACTCACGCGCGCGCATGGTGTCCAACAAAGCCTTTGGGCGCTGCTATGACAAGCGTATGCAACGAGTGAGGAAGGGATGTGCGCCCTTGAAGCTCCTCATCCTGAGTGGCTGCCGGCATGTCTTGTGGACGTTCTTGTATGTAGTCGTGTTTGTGTTCTCTGCCTTGTTTTGGAGAATTGCTCCTTGGCACGGAACTTTGCGTCCTGGGAGGAAGTTCGGGATGTCCGGAGCGAACAAAGAAGGGTGACCATCCATTGACATGAATCTCAGCCATAAGAATATCTCGCGCCGCAGAATCTTGGAGTAAAAGGCCATTATGATGGCTCCTGCTCACGCTAGCGTTCGCGCTGGCTGTTCTTCGGAAATGTTCGGGCTCTTGGGCGTGGAAAACGCTTACCAACATTGGATGGCGCCTGTCCGCGAGGAGGAATGAACCATTGCTGAGCAACCTGTACACCGTGGGTCTGGATCTAGTTCGTTTCAGCGTTCTGTCATCTACAAGGTCTTGGCCCAATGGAGGACATGGGTTGCGAGGCAATCAACAGCACTCTACGTTTTAAGCGTGTTTGGTTCCATGTTGTAGCGATACTTCAAGGATGGATCTCTTGGACGCAGCGCGCTCTGATGAGATCTTGATGGTTCATTACAATTTGAATCGCCGAAATCTGTGGATGTGCGATCAACTGTCGCCCTGTACATGAACTCCGACAAGGCAGCCTTGAAGGACTTCCCCGATGGAGCTGCCTTGAGGCATTGCCTTGCACTGCCATTCAATGTGACCCGCTGGCCGCACTCCCAGAGTGAGTGAGTGAGTGAGTGAGTGAGTGAGTGAGTGAGTGAGTGAGTGAGTGAGTGAGTGAGTGAGTGAGTGAGTGAGTGAGTGAGTGAGAGTGAGTGAGAGTGAGTGAGAGTGAGTGAGAGTGAGTGAGTGATGTGAGGTGAGTGAGTGAGTGAAGTGTGAGTGAGAGTGAGTGAGAGTGAGTGAGAGTGAGTGAGAGTGAGTGAGAGTGAGTGAGAGTGAGTGAGAGGGAGTGAGAGTGAGTGAGAGTGAGTGAGAGTGAGT